CCTTCACATATATAGATAATTGTCCTCCAGGCTATAACCTATAATCCAATGTAATTTTCATGCATGCAAATAGGTAATTACAACAATTTTCATGCATACAAATAAGTAATTGTCTTGTGTCTTACGGTAAGTCTCATGTATATAGTCTATGATTTTCATGCACAAAAATAAGTAATCACTTCGGATTTACATGCATATAAAAAGGTCCCACAATATTCAAAAACTCGATTATTAGTATGAAGAACAAACCAATGCACAGAACATTCATGTATATGCATACTAATAGTTGAAATACATTTAAAACGAGAGTTATCCAATAAAAGAGTGTCTTACATTGAATCCACACTAAGCAATAGATTAATACTGCTTCATTCACCCTTAAACTAGCAACCACTTATAATTGCTGATCAAAATAGCCTAAATTAACCTCTTTTAATGTAATTTTAGTTTAAAACACAAAGAACCATAAAAATGAACCTTAAATGAAATCGAGAGAAAAAAATTGAGTCAAACCGATTAGCTGGCTCAGAGCAATTGATCTAAGTGAATCAAATCTAGCGTTTCAAGTGAACTAGGTAAACGATCCAACAACAAGAACGATCCAAGCAATCTTGTGGCTCGTGTATGGTCTCCACGAGTGTGAGGGGTCGGTTCCTCCTTTCGACAGTATGAAAGAACGCCTTCAACATGTTCACTGCATGATTTCCTGCATTTCCTCCAGCGACAGTTGGCATCTTCTCCTTCCACAACCACGACATAACATGTGTGCCGACTATCCCTCCTGAGTGATCTACAACTAAGATTGATGGTGATTTAGAACTCAACAACCCTAGCTTGAGACCACATTGATCGAACTTAAGAAAAATTCGAAGGAGAATTGATCTTACCTTTCTCCAATTCTTATTCCAACTTATGAGGGTTGAGGCACGACGTAAAACGATGGTGCAATCGATGACAGGCAATGAAGAACTCAAAGGAATTTAGTTGTGAAAAACTAAATAAAAATATGACCAAGCTTCTTTGGGAAGAATATGAGCTGAGTATCACAGTCATGCTTGTTCAAGGTGTGTTGTCTACAACCGCATGGCTGATGTCTCGGTCATGCTTGTCTTGGACGTGTTGTCTATGGTCGTGTGTTCGTTCCAAACCTCTTTTACATGCTTTCATCTAAGATAGGTCTTTACTATTTCATGTTGTGTCAATACTGGGTACATGACCGTTCACCAAAATCGTGTCTACACTGGCCAAAGCTAAAATGACCCAAAATGTACGGGAGGGGATGCTACTAGTAGTCAATTCTTCCTACCCTGAGTTATATGCTATTTAATTCATAGTGTTTCTTTCTTTGCTTATAGCCATATAACGTTGCTTTCTTCAATTCTTTCAAATAATTTTCTAAAATATTTCTCCCAAACATGACTCGAGCCTCAAGCAAACATCGATGTTGTCCGCAACGTCCGAATTTCTCATGGCTGACTTGTTCGCTGGGTTAGAACAAATGTTGTACAGTCAATGTCCCACTGTCGTTAGAGTGCAATCCGATTGGCTGAAATCGAAGAACAATTACTCTGCATGAATGAAGTTCGTGATGGAATAGGGCTTTTGGAGTCTCGCATGAATGAGATTGCTTTCAAAGCTTATAGGCTCGACGAGATGGCAGACCGCCTTGAGGCAATGCCTACCCAGGAACTAATAATTAGGGTCGAGGCCCTAGAAAACAAGGCCACAACTGTTGGTGACTTCAAATGTAGGGATAGCTCGACGGGCTCTGTTGCCCGAATGGAAACATGGGTCGAGGGCTTAGACAAGGCCCAACAACTGATTGTTCAGATGGTCTCAGAAATGTACGAGGATTTAAGAACAAACCTCAGAGCAGTCAGGGCTGAAGTGGCAGATTCAAACTCAAATTCAATCTCACCATGAGAGGGTTGGGAACCAAACATCAACTGGGGGTAGTACAATTTAACAAGATAAAGGTCCTAGAGTCCAAGCCCTTCCATAGGTGAGATGTCAAGGCTCTAAAGAACTTTATTTTCGACCTAGAATAGTACTTTCGAGCCACAAATATCGTGGAAGAAGAAGCGAAGGTCATGTTGGCAACAATGCATCTAACCGATGATGCAAAGTTGTTGGTGGAGGTCCAAGTACATGGACATTCGAGATGGTCGATGTACTGTGGTCACTTGGGATAGTTTGAAAGAAGAACTTCACTCATAGTTCTTCCAAAGAATGTTGAGATAATCGAAAAAAGGAAGTTAATAGAACTAAGTCATCCAGGCGATATCTGAGACTACGTTAAGCAATTTTCTGGGCTTATGTTAGTTATTTGTGATATGTCTAAGACAGACAAGGTCTTCACTTTTATTGAGGGACTGAAGCCATGTGTGAAAATCAAGCTCTACGAACAAAGAGTTCAAGATCTTTCCACGGCTTATGCTACTGTCGAATGATTGTTTGATCTTAATATCGATGAACCCCAAGAGATAGGGCGGAACCAGGCATCCGTAAGTGGTGGAAATGAGAATTACAGACCAAACTTTCCCAGAGGTGGGGAAAGTGAAAGACTCGAAGTCAGAGAAGAGGAATACGAGTCCTCTCAACAAGGAGGTAGGACTCCATGGTGGAGATCTCATAGACAGAACAGTCAAAGTCAATTTGGCAACTTTACCCATCCTAGGAGTTGCGAAGAGAACTCTCATCAAGTTGGGGACTCTGACTAGATGAACCGACTTTGTGGTAGTCAAGATAGACGACTTTGACATTGTGTTAGGGGACTTTCTACTAGAACATAAAGTCATTTCCATGCCCCTAGAAAAAGACTTAGTAGTAACGGGGTCTAACTCGATGATTATTGAGACAAACACCCATCAACAAGGAAGGGTGAAAATGATATTCGTACTACAGCTGAGAAAGGATCTTAGCCATGATGAATCTACGCTCGTTGCCATTACTGCATTTGAACACGGAAGCTCGAGTGAGCCACCTCTAACACAAGCCTTGTGATCAATTCAGAAACACTATGACGTGAGACAAGGAAGTCAGACAAATTAATTATCTCCACCTAGGCAGATAAATAATAATAATGTTATATCAGGGGCGAGATCGCTTGCCTCAAATGAATGTCATAACTTCTACCAGCAACTAAATGACTGCTAATAATCTAGTTTTTAGACCCACAAATATTGTTGTTAGTAATCACTCAAAAGTTGGGCAAAAACATCAAGCCAATGTCATTGCTGAAGGAGAGCGACCAAAATAAACCTCTAAAATAACACATGTTCACGTAGAAATATCATCTAGACGAATGAAGAGAATGGTCGGTTAGAAGCATCAGCCACAAAAATTTCAAGATGGAGATAAAGCTTTGATCAAGTTGATGTCAGATCAACTCTGAGGTCAAAACAACCAAAATCAAAGACGGGTGCGAAAATATTATGGACTAGTTGAGGTTATCCACAAAGTCGAGAAGACATCATATAAGATCCAATTGCTACCATGGATGCAGACTAGCCCTGTTATCCACATTATTAACATGAAACGTTACTCTCCAGACCTAGAAGACGTAAAGCATAGAGAGACAACACAACCTCACACAAAGAAAAAGAATTCCCAAGCAAAGAAAACAGAAGAAACTTCAATAGAGAAGACACCCAGACTTAACGAACCAAGAAGTGATTTTCAATAGTTTCTTGCAGATTGGAAGAGACTCGTCAATGTTACGATCAGCTGGAAGCACGTTGAGAGACCTGAAGTTTGCCTCAACCTACATCATTAATTTTGCGAAGAGTTGATTGACAAAGACGTCAACCAATTGAGTGGGGGAGGATGTCACAGTCATGCTCGTTCAAGGCGTGTTGTCTATGGTCCCATGTCGAATGTCCCGATCATGCTTGTCTAGGATGTGTTGTCTATGGCTGCATGCTCGTTTCAAACTTCGTTTACATGCTTTCATCTTAGATAGACCTTTACCATTTCATGTTGTGTCAATACTAGGGTGTATGACCATTCACTAAAATCATGTCTACATCCGTCATTGCTAAAATGCCCCAAAATCTACTATAAGAGGATGCTCCTAGTCGTCAATTCTTCATACCCTGAGTTATACGCTATCTAAGTCGTGTTGTTTCTTTCTTTGCTTATAGCCATATAACGTTGCTTTCTTCAATTCTTTCAAATCATTTTCAAATGTATTTCCTCGTTCACAGTTTCTAAAACATGACTAGGCTAGGGCATACGCCGATGTTGTCCGAGACGTCCAAATTTCTCACGGTTGACTTATTCGCTGAGTTAGAACAAGTATCGCACAATCGCTGTCCCACTGCTATAAGAGTGTAACTCTGACACCGAGCACTTGCATTGTCAATGCGATTGAGTTGATCCTTAGACGTCAAACGCGAGATGGAACTCCAAACAACATCCAAACTCCACCTCGATTCCCCTTTGAAGTTGTTGAAGTAGCCGACGATGCAATATCCCAACCCATGATGCAAATAGGCAAAAATATAATTTCTCCTAAGCTATGTGAGTTTGTTTCCGTTGTATATCTTTTACAACTTAGGGTTCTTATTTTTTTTTAATATAGCATCATTGACCACATAATTTGAAGAAGGGTTTGTTTGTTTATTGCCAAATTATTAATATGTAGGAACAAACAAAAAGGAGTATAGTCACAAATAAATAAATAAACTACAATTACCACTTCCCCAACTCCATAAGAAATTCAATGAAATTATATGTTCAAAGTCATGGGGTGGGCAGCTAATTTGTTCCTTCTGTTTTTCCACAAACTAATTTATTATCTATAATTATATTCACATCAAAATCATAATAAAGCAATGTGAATCAGACGCCGTTAATTGATAGAGCCGGTTGGTGGGGCCCTCAACATGGACCATGCACATGCACTTTGATTCTTCTCCCAGCCAAACTAAAAAAAAAAAATTAATTAATTAATTAATTAATAAAAAGAAATAAAACTATTCCCTTAGCTGGGAATCCAAACAACCCCCTTTCTCTCTCTTAAAAACTCCACAAAGTTTTATACAGTTTCCATGCACCCAATTCCACCTCAACTCATTTCCCACTCTCAAAAAAATGCTTCCTTTCAATTCTCTCCTCTTTCTCACCCTCCTCCTTCTAATCTCACCCTCCTCCTCCTCCGCCGCCGTTCGCCGCCTCGACGACACCCCCGTCTCAGCCACCCCCGCCGACCCCACAGTCAAGTGCTCCCCATGTGAACAAAACCCCCCATCTCCTCCTCCTCCACCGGTCTACCCCTCCCCTCCGCCGCCCTCTCCTCCACCGCCGGACGTTGTCGTCTACTACTCTCCCCCTCCCCCTAAGAAGGATCACAAGAACAACGACTGCCCACCGCCGCCGTCTCCCAACTTCATGTACATAACCGGCCCTCCCGGCGACCTCTACCCCATCGACCAGAATTATAACGCTGCCGCCCGGAGACTCGTCTCCGCCGCAGCCTCCGCCGTGATTGGGTTGGCTGTTGCTGGGGTTCTGATGATATAAAGGGAGGGAGATGGATCGAATTTCTCGTGAAGGTAAAAACTAATTATAATCCTCTCTACGAGATTTTCCGATTTGGGATTGTTTTTGAATTTTTATGGATTTTCTTGTCTAATAACACTGTAATTTGTACTAAATATTGAATTGTCCAGAAATTTGTGGTCAGAAAAGAAAATATATGTGTTTTTTTAGTATATTTTGGAAATTTATTTTCCCCTTTTCAATCAAAATAACAAAAATTAGGTCAACTTTAATTATTCAATATGAATGGATTGGATTCAATCTTCATCATCACTCAACCATATAATTGAATTATATATATATTTTTTTTTTAATTTTTTTAAATTTAATTCCATCACGTCTAATTGATTTAAAATGTCACCTACATTAAGAGTTTTCTAGTGGATCCAAAAAATAAAAGGGTTCTGAATAAAAAACACCCAACTATAGCTTAATCATTTTTTTTTTTTTTGAATGAAAATGACAAATATTGGATTATTTAGAGAAATTTATTAACAAATTATTTGGGTCCCATCGTTAAAATGTGACTTGTTGTCACTTCTGTTATATAAATATTCTCAAATGGTGTCATTTTCTCAGTTACAAAAAAATCGTAATCAGTTCTAAACCTTTAAATCAATCAAACTCTACCAAGTTAACCAACACTTATCCATTAACTAACTTAGATCGTATGTATTTAAAAAGTGAACGTGTGTCAATTAAAATAATAGTGTATTTAAAATTTTCTTTTTTAAATATTTTATTATAAGGATAATAATATTCAAAGGTTGTAAATTCAATTACTATATAATTATATTAAAATAAATTATAAAAGAAAATAAAGAATAAAATAAAAACAATTTATTCCAACGAGTAAATTGGATAAGTGGGGTTGACGAATATTAAGATGACACGTGTTGAGGTCCACTTCCCGAGGTGAAATTTGCATGTTGTATTTTAGAATGTGGACCTCATTCCAAACCATTGGATCTGATGTCAGAGAGTTTCTTGAGATGCGATGAGATCAAGTGTCAGGGCTTATCCTGCATTCCTAGGATGATCATCTTCAGTTTCACACAAGTGCGGCCCCACCCGAGTTCTTTCTCCCTCCCCCTCTCCAAATTGGTTTTTTCCACTTTTTTATTTATTTATTTTACTTTTCATTATCCACGTGTCACTCATATTTTTCAACATGTCTAAATCAATTAAAATATAGTTAAATGAATTGCAGGATTAAAATTAACCATAAATAAGAATTAAAAAAACTTTACTTTTATTATAAGAATATTTGTTAAGAATGAGATAGAAAATAGTATTGGAAAGGTATATATTATTATTGATATTGATATCTTTTAAATAGGATATAAGAAATACAAATGAGAAAAATATAAAATAATTAAATACTGAGAATAAAATAAAATATATTGTAAATCAAATCATAAATAAAGAATATTATGATATAATATCTAAAATGTATACTATAAATAATATATACTCTAGATATTATATCTCAATACTCCCCTCAAGTTGGAGAGTGGATGTTAATCACACCCAACTTGTCTTTCAAACAATAAAATTGATGTCTTCCCAAAGCTTTAGTGAAAATATATGTCAATTGCATTTTAGTCGAAACATAACACGGTTTGATGATTCCAGCTTGTAATTTTTCTCGAACTATATGACAATCTATTTCAATGTGTTTCGTACGTTCGTGAAAAACTGGATTGGCTGTTATGTGTAATGCTGCTTGATTATCACAATACAATAATGTTGGTTCGGACAGTGAAACTTTCAAGTCTTTGAGAATGTATCTTAACCAAGTTAACTCTAAACAAGTATTTGCCATAGCTCGATACTCGGCTTCTACTGATGATCTGGACACATTGGTTTGTTTTTTTTTTTTTACTTCCAAGAAATAATTGAATTTCCAAGGAAAATGCAGAACCCAAAAATAGACCGTCTGGAAGTTCGACAACCACCCCAGTCTGAATCGCAATATGCTTGTAATCTCAAGTTATTTTCAGATGGTAGTAGAAGTCCTTGACCAGGAGTACCTTTGATGTATCTCAGAACTCGAAGAGCTGCCTCTCAATGTGGTTTTCATGGTTCATGCATAAATTGACTAAGCATACGAACTAAATACACCATGTCAGGCCTAGTAACGGTTAAATATATTAATCTGTCAACCAATCGTCTATATTTACTTGGATCATTCAACTTTTCTCCTTCGGTTGAAGAAAGTTTCAGATTTTGCTCCATAGGAAATTTTTCTAGACGTGCTCCTGTAAGACCTGTGTCTTGAAGAATGTCTAGAGCATACTTCCTTTAAGACATAAAGATTCCTTTTCTAGACCTAGAAAATTCAATACCTAGGAAATATTTCAAATTCCCTAAATCTTTGATAAGAAATTTCTCGAGTAAACTAGTCTTGAGATGTTGAATTTCTTTGAGATCATTGTCTGTCAACAGAATATCATCAACATAGATAAGAGCTGCAGTGAAAGAAGTACCTTTACTCTTAGTAAATAAAGAGTATTCTGCTTTGGACTGAGTGTAGCCTGCATTTTGTATAGTGGTAAAGAATATGGAAACCAATTGCGAGAAGCCTGTTTTAAACCATAAAGAGATTTATGGAGCCGACATACTGTATTCTCCCCCTGTCGGCGAATACCTGGTGGTAAAGACATATAGACTTCCTCGTTTAGATTACCATGGAGAAAGGCATTTTGAACATTTAACTGATGAGTGAACCATTTTTTAGCAGCGGCAATAGTGAGTAAGCAACGAAGTGTAGTAAGTTTCGTTGTAGGAGAAAATGTCTCTTTGTAATCAACACCTTCAACCTGAGTGTATCCCTTTGCTACCAGTCGAGCTTTATAACGTTCAACAGAACCATCAGAGTTATATTTAATATTGTACACCCAATGACAGTCAATAGGTTTATGGCCAGGTGGTAGAGGAACGAGAGACCAAGTATGACTACGTTCCAAAGTTGCAATTTCATCATTCATAGCCTACTGCCATAATGGATTGCCAACTGCCTCATCATAGGTTTTAGGTTCTGTCTGGGCTGTAATAAGAGCTAGAAAAGCAGGTTGAGTAGGAGAAAAACAAGAGAATGAAAGGTAATGATGAAGGGGATACCTGGTGCCAGTGTTGGGACTTGAGCTAGAGGTTAAATGATTGGCTCCCGAAGACATCTCGTAATCATTATAATAAGCTGGAGGTTGTTTGGTACAGTAGAACGTCGGAGTGGAACTAATGTATCAGGTGGGATAAGATCAGATTTAGTGGGTGAATCTGGTGAATCTGGAACTGATGAATTTGGAGAAGGAATAGGAGGCGGAGGAGACGACGAAGGATCATAATGGATGTTTGAGTAGGGTGGATCATGAAATGGTAAAACGGGAGTTGAAGGAGCTAATGTCAAAGTTTGTGAAGCTGATGAAAAAGGAAAATCATCTTCACAAAATTTAACTTCACGACTAATAAAGAATTTTTTAGATTGCATGTCATACAACTTGTAACCTTTGTGTCCACAAGGATATCCTATGAAAACACAAGGAATTGCTCGAGGTTCAAATTTTTGCTTAGGATGTACTATAGTTGCGTAACACTTACAACCAAAAACTTTAAGATGGTGAAATGTAGGTGGTCGTTTGTAGAGTGCTTCAAAGGGTGTCTTGTTAGATAACAATGGTGATGGTGTTCTATTTATAAGATAAACAACCGTTAAAATGCATTCTCCCCAAAAATTAAGTGGAACTGAAAAAGAAGAGACCTAGCTACATTTAGGATATGACGATGCTTACGTTCTACGACTCCATTTTGTTGTGGAGTATAGACACAAGTGCGCTGAAATTCAATGCCATAAGAAGAAAAAATGGTTGCAAAGATAGGAACTCGGTCCCATTGTCTGATCTAACAACCTAGTTTGTCTTGCTAATGGGCAAATACTACAATTATGACAAAGAGTAGCATTATTAAGATGTAATTGATTAGCTAGAAATTTAAAATGAGAAGGAGAAGGATGACCTAGACGTAAATGTCACAAATCAGATGACTGAGATACTTGATTTGCTGAAGACTTGATTGGAGATGAAGAAATATGATAGAGACCTCCGAATTGTTTACCCGAGCCAATCATCTTCCCCGTAGCCAAGTCCTGCATAACACGAGAATCAGGATAAAAGGTCACCTAACATTTCAAGTCATTGGTAAGTTTACTGATGGACATTAGGTTTAAGTTGAATGAAGACACACATAAAACATTGTTTAATTTAAGGTCAGGATTAAAAGAAACATTGCCGGTATGTGACACATGTGTTGTCCGTCCATTAGGCAAATTTATTGTAGATATGGTGGTAGCCTTTGGTTCAGTCATAACAGAAGCTTTGGATACTATATGATTTGTAGCTCCACTATCGAGAATCCATGGATTAGAACTCGTAGAGTTAATAGATAATGCAGATACTGGAAACAAACCTGCAACATTGATGTTATTATCAGAATTACCAAAAGGACGATGATTGAGTACAGATAAGGCTTGTACAATCTGTTTTAATTGCCCAAAAGAAAAATTTGGGATGAAATTAGGTGACTGTTCTTCTGTATTCAACTGAGAAACATTGGCCATATTTGCAGATGATCGATATCCTCGATTGTTGCCTTGATTGAATTGTACTGCCCTTCTAGAATTATTTTTTTGTTGACATTGATATTCTGTATGTCCCCTTCTATCACAAAATTTACAGTGAAACTTAAGAAATCGACACTCATCAATTGTATGACCACTTTTATTACAGTGTTCACATGATTTATCCTTCGCGAGTTTTGAATATGTTGTTTTCTTTTGCACTGACACTGCATCTCTTCTTGTACAAGTAATGAATAGGCTTGCCTCACATTAGGTAATGGAGTCATCATCAATATGTTAGATCTCACCATTTTATAAGATTCATTGAGTCCCATGAGTAGTTGCATCAACTTGTCTTCTTCGCGTTGATCAATATGTATTTGACGTTGATTACAGGTAAATGGTGTGCGGTATGCTTCCAATTCATCCTAGAGTGCTTTGAGCTTGGTGAAATATACTGACAGTGCTATGGTTCCCTGTGACATCATTCCTATAAACCTCTATATCTTAAAAATTGCTGGACCATTCTTTTGTGAAAATTGATCGTGAAGATCAACCCA